AATGGGATCATTAAAATGGTTCTATGCATGACAAGCAAAACTCATCTTGACAACGGGCAGTTCAAATGTCTTAAGGCTAGAATGTATCACCATTATTTTGATGTTTTTATGAAATGAAGGAATTCCATGTTAAATTCGTAGCACAATGAATTTTTGTACCTTCAGCAGACAAACGATTGCTCCTCTTAAGCTCTTTCAAACCAGAGCCCCATTCCACTCACCTCCTTCTGGAAGCCAAGAGCTGACCTTCCTGGAAAATTCTGCTCCTCCACATTGAGACCCCTCTTGGCATTTGAAGTAGGACAATTCTGCTGAATGTGGGACTGTCTCTTTCACTGCAGAGTGCTGAGTAAACCAGCCCCTGCCTACCTGACCACCTTCCCAATGTCCCCAGGGGAGGATGTCTCCCCCACTGAAATATACTACATTATTTCTGATCCTTGCTCCCCCAAGTACTCCTGGGTTTTCAGCTGATGCTAACTGCATGCCACCTCATGGATACCATTAAGTCATTTTGAAGGATCTCAACTACTCCATTAGAGAGAGGAAAGTACCTATGCTTTGGCTGACTCCTAATGCACCTATCACATATGGGCTGGCTAGCAGGCCACCCACTCAAAATTCATCATGCTGTAATTTCAGATGAAATCCCTTCATTTTTGCCAAAAGCCTTTCAAGGGTAGAGTCTTTACTTTGGGTGACCACTTCTTGAAACAGGGTCATTTTTATATTATCTTTTTTCCCCACATTTAAAAATTTAGTGATCTTGAGAATTTTCAATTTATTCTTGACCTTTTTCGTGTCCTTTAGGAATACTACAACTTAAGTCTGCTCCTAGGCTGTCTCTGAGGCCATGTATCCACAACATTTGAGCAACAGAGCAGCCCAACCAATTCTCAGCCACACAGACCTGCACTCTAAAGTGTCACACAAACAAATCCAGTGTTCTGCACTTCTGGGTTTATTTTATCCCCACATGCACAATGCAGTCAGGAGGACCACTTTTCATGCCAAAGCAAAATTTATACTTTTGGATAAAAATAGAAGGATGGTGATTTTATTATTTTTATTGTGATAACCATTACTGTCACAACAGTGAACCATGGAGTCCTTGCCAGGCACCCTAAGTGTCTTACATGCGTTACATTACCTAATGGTTTAGAACATAAGTATTAGTCAGAAATTTTCATTAAAGGTAAAACACAGCCAAAGAATCTGTTGGGAATGAACTGCAAGCTATTCACATGGTATTGTGACCAGCACACTTTCTGCTGAAGGGCAAGTGAAGCCTTTTCCTCGCCATGCAAACATGCGGACACCTGGGGCAGGACACCAGGCTGCTGCCCCCAGATTTAGACACCACAACATGAAGGCTGATGCTCTACAAAAGCAACTAATAAAGGGGCTGGTGTAGATAACCTGATTATAATATCCCCTAGGTATTGGCCCTTGAATCAAAAGAGTTAACTGGTTCACAATGATACTGTAAATGGTATTTTTTCCTAAAAATTTACTATATCTAGTGTCATAGTAAAACCGTTTAGTAAAAAAGGACAGAATTAAAACTCTTCCTGCCTTTTATGTTGGAAATTAATGTAGTATCTACAGTACTGAATACATTTCATTGGCAATGAGAATAGCTGACGAGGACTCCTTTTAATATGTGCTGTTTGTTCTTTGTTCTTAAAGGTACAGATGCTGACATTTTGCAATAAAAATTCAGTAAGTAATGAACTAGAGGAGAAAACGACCTCTAACAGGATCACCCCCTCCAAGCATGTCCCTGTTGCAGCTCTGGGACAGCCCCTGATTAAAGGGCCCGCTTTTTAACTTGAAATCTACATTGACCACTGGAATATGAGCGTGTTTCTGTTATGAGATGAATGTGATCGATTAAATGGCCTTGATTAGGTATCTTACCTTGGTCTTAAAATTTGTTATCTGTTTTCTTCATTGTATGTGTTTATTAATACCAGTAAAAACAGATTATCACACATCTTCCATAAAATGATTGTGATAGAAATGTCACTGAGTGTGTACGATGATACACCACCTGCAGCAGCATCCTGGAATATTACATCACTCTAAGTGCAGTACAGGGCAGCTGAGTTCAAATCCAACTTGACTGGTGTGGGCTCCCACAAAAGCTGTTACCAGTGAAGGCGAAAAAAATAAGAATTTGCTCTACTAAGGGAATAAGAAATGAAGTTACAAAACACTTAAATCACATTAATTCCTTCACAGGTCTTTGTCATGCAAATGTGTAATTTTAATCTATTTTCTTCATTGGAGTGATATACTACAATGCAATGATTATTCCAATATAAATTGTATTTATCACATATACCTTTTTCAAGAAGAATTTAAACCACAACATGACCTAAAATGTTTTGAAATACCAACCCTATGAAAATCCCTTATTGCAATCAGGTGTGACGAAAGGAAGAAAATATAAACATGCAAAGGGTGCATGACCCAAATAGGGAGTTAGTCTGAACCTCAAACAGCAATTCCCATGGTCACCTAGCTCATATCAGAACTGGGCCCAGCAGTGTACAGGGTGTTTTTTTATAACTCTACATTTTGCCTCATATGCTAACAGGTATTCAGCATTAACATTATAAACATTTGTTGTAGTTCAATAGTGTTACTACATAATATACAAGTTTATTTGTTCACTAAAAGTGTTTTAATTAACAGTGTAATTCCGTAAAAATGAACTCTCATGGAAAATTTATATAAGCCACACAAAAGTAGCCTAATAGAAAAGGCCTAGTATATATTTTTACTTAAGGAACATAATGCACACTATGGGATCTACATATCACCTTCAAAATGTAGGAAACCTTATGAAATTAATGTGTTTAATATATAACATAAATGCACTTAATAATCTGACAACCTCTGATATTCTAAAGAACTAAAAACCAATTAAGTCTAAGGATTATAAAATGCTTCATCTAAGTCTTCCCAAGGTCAGAACAATTGACTAGGCCAGGGAGACTAAGATCTCCCAACTTGCGGGCAGGCCTCCACCATACCATGCTAATCTTAAACCCTTGTACATGACTCTAAACCAAAGCCTTGGATCAGAGCCATGGAAAAACAGACAAGATTTCAGCAGCCTCCATGTTCTATTTTCTATGACAATAGTATATGTAAAAAATCAATAAAATAAGTGGACGAAAATATGATGAAAGAAAAACTCATTAAAAATGTTTTAAAGACAGTTTTTCTTCTTTGAGAAACTTGTCCATGGCAGGTCTTTCTGCTATGAATCTTCTTTTATCCTTCTCTTCTTCTTGCTAATAAACTCTATTTTGAAATTTTAAAAAATATACATATATACTTTAAAAACAAGACTGGGCACAGTGATTGCATGTCTGTAATCCCAGCACTTTGGGAGGTTGAGGTGAGAGGATCACTTAACCTCAGAAGTCTGAAACGAGCATGGGCAACAGAGTGAGTCCCCATTTCTACAAAAAAGTAAAAAACAAAATTTTAAAACAAAAATGACAATTTAAATAAAAGGTCCATGGAACTAATATCAGTTATATTTAATATTCTTCTTTTCTGGAATGTAGATCACTTTTCATGTAATTTTCTAGGATTCAAACTTGAACTTGGACAAGAAAGAATGAAAAAAGAAAAAATAATTTGCCTTTTCATGCTTCAGTAAGCTCCTAAAAGTTCAATAAATAATTCTCAATATATATTTTTAAATGTGTCAAATGTAAGAAATGCTTAGCACATAGCAGTTATAAGCAAGCCCCAGTCCCACATATGTGAGCAGCTCCTGACCACTACTGAGTTGGTTTCAGTCACTGAAGAAAATCCCACTCAGAGGAGTAGTGTATGCTTGCATCATCACTGAAGATTCAGAACGGCGAGCTGCAGAACTTCCTGGGCACCTCAAGGATCGCCTCGGTCCCTGACCTTCATGCACTGAAAGGCCTATCCCTCCTCTAATGGGAGAGGAAACCACTGAGGCACACTTATCTCTCCTGGGGACTGTGGCAGAAACCCAGTCAGAAGTGCCTTCTGACCCAGCAAGAGTAAGGGCCTGACCAGCCCCTGCCTCACTACCCTGTTCCAAAAAGGCCCATGGTTGTCATTTCCTCATAAATACTACAAAAACAGGACTCATGTCTACAATGAGAAAAACAGAATAACAGGGAACCAAATAACGAGAACTAAAAACTTCAAATCAAGCTCCATGAAAATAGTCCCTAAAAATCAGGAAACCAAAACTACTCTGGACAAAAAATTATCACATCTGCATTTTGTGGCCATTATTTGTTTTGTTTTTAGCAATGGCAAAGACTTAGATTTGATAATGAAGTCTAGATGTCATGTTACAGTGATGATAGGTAACAGCCTCAAGTAGCTATTATTTTGCAAGTCCAGAAAACGGGAATCGTATTACAATGGGAGTTCTGACTCACCTCAACACTCATGTAACTAAGAACATGCCAGAATTTAAAGGACCAAAGACATGAACCCAAAGCCATGAAATGCATGAGGACAAAGAAATTTTGGCTTCCCCCATAAGCCTAGGTCTGGAAGCAACAGGAACCAGGTATGCATGTGAGTTCCCCCTCACTCCACCTGTTATGAGTGTACAATGACCAGTGTCAGCTCAACTGACAACGTTGTCACATCAGAACCAACACAAACTTACTCTCATGTGAAACTTACAGTGTGAGAGGGAAATAGAACACAACATTTTAAAGACCGATTTTTATGAACTAAGAAACTGCACCAAGAATGAAGTATCTACATTCATTTACAAAGACCCCGTGTAAAGTGCTCAAACAGACTAAAACAGTGCACTACTTTTCCCATTTCATGAGTGTAGATAGTTAGGAGGACCTAGAACACCTACACTAGGGAGAACACCAAATTTATGCTTATTAAGTCAGAGCCTTACTCACACTGCAACTTGGGTGCTAACTGGCCTTCATATGAATGCCATGTTGTCATTATTATTATTGTTTTACCTCATTCTCAGTTAAGGATGCAGAAGGAGATGAACTTTTGCTAAACCCAAGAGCTGAAGATGCTGCCGTGGAAGCCCGATTTCGCTTCTTCAGTGGTTTGCATGCATCAGACAGATTTTTCGTTGCTGTAAAATAATTTTTGTTTATAAAGTTTCAAATCTTAGACCCTTAATCTCTTTACTGCTTTAAAATTACCCATCAAATAAGTGAAGTTCTAAAGAGGAATCTTCTGGGTTCCTTTTTCCTTCTGGCTAAACTTTTTAGTGTGGAGAAATACAAATGTAAACAAGAGCAGACAAACTATACAATGAACCCCATGTCCCTGCTGCCTGGACTCTGAAAACAGTAGCAGGGGCAATGTGGCTCCATCTACACCTGTTCTATGTCCCCCTGCAGGATTTTTCTGAAGCAAATCCCAGAAATATCATTTTATCCATAAAAAAGGTTAGTGCAAGTCTCTAAAACATAACATTTTAAATATAATCACAATGCCACTATTATGCTTAAAAGTAACAAAACCTTTATATCACCAAATATCCAGTCAGTGTTCAAATATCCAATTGCTCACAAATGTCTTTTTTTAAATCTGTTTAACTGATTTTTAAAAACCAGTAAAGTGCAACAAGTTGCAAAGCAGGAAAAACAGAGCCATTCCAAGTCTACAATTACTCTCCTTCCCCAGGGTGGTTTTCCTTTCTAATTAAGAGTTGAGAAAGTGAACCTTTTTTTAGTAAACTATCACACAGATATTTCAAAGAGATAATTAAAAGGTAAAAGGGAGTATGATTACTCCTTTTATTGTTTTGATAGTTATTTTTCATAAACATTTTAAGCTAGTTTCTTTGGCATGTGAAACAGAAATAGTCCTTACTTTTATTTTTAGCAATATACAGAGGATCAGGATTTTGAAAGAGTGGTATAATGTATAGCAAAAACTGACACCATCAAATAAGAAGCCTGAAACCTTAAATCACTTTTCTAGTAAAATTTTAAACTGAAAACAATAAAACCAAGTAAAAATCAGCAGAAAAGTAACCAACAAAATTTAATCGAATCCTTAAAACAACTTATATATTAAAAGTTTATTTTTCGACTGCATAAGAAACTCCCTTTCATCTTATCCCATAAGGTTCTAGCTCAGCTGTGGCTCCCTCCCCAGTCCTGCTCCCTTCACCAGCCCATGCTTCCCTTTCATACACTCAACCCACCCGCTGGCCCAACCTGGCCACCCAGAAGAAGCCAACGAAGGAAGAAGAGCTGACCACATTACCTGCCTGGCTCTTGAGCGAAGAGGCTGCCTCTATAGTCTTGTAAGAGCTTGTTCTGGCCGTTTTGTCAGTGATTGTGTCTCTCTATTAGTAAACAAAAGAGAGAGAAAGAAAGAAAGAAAAAAGAAAGGAAAAAAGTCTCCTCATGTAAATGAACACAGGTTGCTGAAAAGTTTCGTGGCAGAAACATCTTTCTTTGGGAATGTTGTCCACACACAAAGCCATCTGCAGTTGCCCAACGTCAGACTTTGTTTTCACAATCTGGACTGATCCTTTCTTCAAACCTCTCACTCTTCTATCTGTCAGGAGGGTGAGGTGGGCAGGGCTGTGCCAAGACCTGCTGGAGTCATGTGGTTAAGACACCCGATAGGAGTCGTATTCAACATGCATCTAGATTTTCCACTAAGCCCAAAGCAGAGTATGAACATGAAGGAATCAGCCTTTCCAGTCAACAGGTGCCAATAAATTTAGAGTCAGACCTACTAAGTCAGGGCCAACATTACTAGACTAACTCACTGCACTGAGGATTTCCGATTTTGACACTTATGCCAGATACACTAGTGAACAAAGATCAGTAAAAAAATTTCACAACTGACAAGAGCCCAAAAAAAAAAAAAAAAAAAAAAAGGAGAGAGAGAGAGAGAGAGAGAGAAAGGAATCATGAACATTTTACAAAGGGCTGAGAGTCTGAATGATGTAAGGTGAAAATGCCCCATCTCCATAGCACTTAGGCATCACTGCCCAGGGTGAACCTGACACTCAAGCAACAGGGTTCCTGCACTCATACCCCAACTCATCCATCTGCCTGAAACCTGAACAGGATGCAGTGGGTTGAGCACAAGGTCCACAGACAAGGTGCCAGGTGAATGTACTTAGGACAATGCTCAGCACAGCAGAAGTACTCAACGCACGTTACAAATCACATGAAATACATTTCTAAAAATGGGGGGGGCCACAAAAAAAAACCCAGACCAGAAGAGACACCATTATTTTTTATCATGTGGTATTATTTCCTGAGAGAATGGCTAAAGAAATATCTCTACCTAGCTACTTAATCTAAATTTTGGTGTATTTTTTTTTTGTCAGAATTTCATTCCTGCATCGCCCGGGCTGGAATGCAGTGGCACTATCACGGCTCACCATAGCCTTGACCTTCTTCCATCTCAGTCTCTCAAGTAGCTGGGGACTACAGGTGCGTGCCATCATGCCCAGCCAATTTTGTTATTTTTTGTAGAAACAAGGTCTTGCTATATTGCCTAGGCTGGTCTCAAACTCCAAGGCCCCTAGACTCAAGCAATTCTCCCACCTCAGCCTTCCAGAGTGCTGAGATTATAAGTGTGAACCACCACACTCAGCCCTTAAAGTGAACTTTGATATTTCAAGTGTCCAGGGTCACACTTATTTTTTTAGGCATATTATTTACACATAATCACAGCTCACTGCAATCTCAACCTCCTGGGCTCAAACGATTCTCCCACCTCAGTCTCCAGAGTAGCTGGGACTACAGGCTTGTGCCACCATGTCTGGCTAATATTTTTATTTTTTATTATTTTGCTATGTTGACCAGGCTGGTGTCCCACCCCTGGGCTCGAGCAATCCTCCCACCTCGGCCTCCCAAAGTGCTGGTATTACAGGCATGAGGCACCACACCTGACCTATACAAATATGTCAAAGCAACCAATTTTAGCATGATTTCCAGCAAAATGCTGCTTTAATAGCAGGTAACCAGAGGAAACATTAAGTATGTGCTTCCTAGTAACTGCTAACTTTAGTGACTCTGAGTAAATTTTACCTAGCTTATTGCTGATACTTGATAACTAAACAATCCCACCTGATGGCAGGTGTCCCAGGTGGCCAGAAAGATGGAGCAGGGCCCACCTGCTCCCCTGAACTGCAAATACAACTCATGTGGTGTCCACATATTTACAATGTAGCAATATGTGAGGTTTATTTTCCATTCTTCAAGATAAAACAAAACAATAAAAAGGGCATCTTAGCCGGGCTCAGTGGTTCAGCCTGTAATCCCGCACCTTTGGGAGGCTGAGGTGAGTGGATTGTCTGAACCTGCGGGTTTGAGACCCACCTGGGCAGCGAGACCCCATCTCTACAATAAATCAAAAAATCAGCTGGACGTGGTAGCGCGTGCCTATAGTTCCGGCAACTTGGAAGGTTGAGGCGGAAGGATCGCCGGAGCCCAGCAGGTCGAGGCTGTGGTGGCCGGGAGCGGCCACTGCACTCCAGTCTGGGTGACAGAGCGAGACTCCAACTCAAAAAAAAAAGGGCATCTTAATTTAACCTGCGCGAGTGTGCCAGGGCACTTCAGCCTGGGCAACACAGTGAGACTCCAACTCAAAAAATAAATAAATAAATAAATATGCAGAACAAAATTATGAATTTTACAGCAACCTGGATGGAACTAGAGTCTATAATACTGAGTGACCTCTCACAAAAACAAAGATCTGAGTATCACATGTTCTCACTCATATAGTGGATCTTGATCATCCAACGTACTACCATAAGAAAATGACTGGCAGTGGTGGAAAACTATGTGGGGAGGGGAAGGGGGATGGGACTAATGGTAGTAAACTTCTGTCTGGGGATGGGGAGACACCTCTTATCAACAAGGGGGCCTGAACGAAGCATATTTGTATACCTAACCCTTAACTGTACCTACCCCACAATATCATAATAAAAAATATTGATTTTAAAAAATATATAAATAAATAAAAAATAAAAATGTATATCAAGTATTACTTAAAGTATTTGGATGTGTGTTTTCTTGGATAGCAAAGTCAGCAGTTTCTGTACTAACATCTTTGGTGGGAAAGAATTTGCTTTCTTCAGCAACCTTTCTCAACAGGGTTCTGTGAGAAAAGCAAGTCTCACAGCTGAGTGCCACCCTGGAGAGAACAGAGAGGAATGCCACGTGTATCCTATCTGTGTTCCCAGGTAGGAAAAAAATGGCACCAAAAGTCACATGTTCTGACAGACTAGGCAAACCCAGAACATAATTACCTTCCGAAGACTGTGCTTGTCCGTCCTGAGTCTTTTCCGGGGTGCGTCCTCAGCTTCAACATCTTCTGTGGGGTCCTGTGTCCTCTTTGTGTGGTTTCTTTTTTTCCCATTTAAGTTACCTTGGAATGGGGGAAACTTACATGAAAACTTCTCCAAAAGCTGCCCTCCAAAGCACTGAGAACCTAACCAAGGGTGTTCAATGTAATCCTGATGTTTTCCAGGGCTTATGTCTTACAGTTCAAATCTCTTTACAACAGAAGACTGGGGACTGAAAATATTTTACCTAATCTTAGAGATTATATTAATATTTGTTATAATTATATTTTAATGTATTATAGCATTAAGTTTAAGTATAAAGCTGTATTTTAAAAAATCTTTTACTTACTAACATTCAAAGACTTGTGGAATTTAAATTGAACTTAAAAAAAATACGACTTGCTACTTTTTGTACATTTCCTTAAAGAATAATTTTAAGTACCAACACTACATTTGTATTTGCAAGTTAAGGGTTTTCTATGTGTTTGCTTGACTGTGCCATGTATTAGGAGTTCCCAAAAATAACAACAAATCCAAGATCTAATGTGTCCAAACAGTACTGATCCAGAAAGATAAGACGTAAGAGTGCAAATTCTAGAGAAATTTTTAATCTAAACATGTCAATGTTTATTTTAGATACAAATCCAATATTTTAATTTGCATTACTGCTTTACACAGGCTCAGGGTTTTTTATTAACAAACTGTTCATCAGACATCTTGTGAAAGACACTGTCATCCTCAAGCTTTGCTACAGCTGGGACAGAACATACTAGCACCAGAGTGCTCAGCTGTGTGGCAACCAGCAGGGCCTTGGGCGGAGGCACCGGTGTCCATGCCCTGGGTGCCAACACATGCACGGAGCTTCACCCTGGGTCTAGGCCAGAGGTCACTGCTAAAGAAGAGTCAGCAGCCAGAGAGTGGGGCACTCACCAGCTGCAGTTCCAGGCTAGTGTGATGGAAGCCCATAAAGCAGCTCTTACAAAGCTGCAAAGGCAGCCTCAGGAAGAGGTCTGTAGAGTGGCAGACAGCAGGACTTGCCTAGTTACTGCCCATGCAGGAGCACCACCAGCCTGTCTTGCCAGAACATCCTCAGTCAGGTTTAGCCTCCATCAGCATTGGTTCACAAGCTATACACACCTGCCAGCAACATCAACCTGGTGCCTTGTTTTCCCACAGATGAGGTGAATTCTTGATCCCTGACATAAGTACCTCCCTCTTCAGAATAAGGCAGCAGTCATCCTTACAGAAACCAGCATATGGGCATCTGTGTGAATTTCTAACACTGAGACAAAGGGGTCAGGTGATGCACAAACATGGCATACCAACTTTGGTATTAGCAGTGGGGTCACCTGAAAGTCAGGGCAAAAGGTCACCCAGGAACCAGCACACACTTGATATACACTGGGTAGAAGCCCATCTGTCACTTCTCCTATCTGCTAAGAACTGAGGGACAGCCCAAATCAGCAAAATAGGACACAATCAAATTTACACTTACTCTTCAAGGGTAAGCTGAATCTGGCTTCAGGAAGACCCAGTTCTTTTTTTTTTTTTTTTTTTTTGGAGTTGGAGTCTCACTCTGTCACTCAGGCTGGAGTACAGTGGCATGATCATGGCTCACTGACATCTCGACCTTCTGGACTCAAGTTGCCTTTCTGCCTTAGCCTCTCAAGTAGCTGGGACTACAGACACATGCCACCATGCCTAGGCTAATTTTTTTGTAGAGATGATGTCTCACTATGTTGCCTAGGCTGCTGTCGAACTCTTGGGCTCAAGCAATCTTCCCCCTTGGCTTCCCAAAGTGCTGGGATTACAGGCATGAGCCACCATACCCAGCCTCCAGCTCATTTTTAAATAAGCTAGTCTTTGGAAAGGGACATTTATCTAAACTCAGTGTCCTGATGAAGAGATGAGCTTTTGCCGTTAAATCAAAAACACAAATCCTAAATATCCTCGTTATTCTAAATTATAGTATTTGCAGTGAACACTGAGCAAATTGAACAAAATTCAAGATTAATGAGATAGGTAATAAGGAGATCTAGAAAGTCCTAATTCAAGATGGAAAGAGAAAGGTGACAGTGCGTGTGAAGTCACAGCCCGGCATGCACAGGGCTCTAGCAGCACAAGCGAGCACACATGGCCAGACCGCCACTACTTCTGGGCCTCAGCCTTCTTTGAGGTGAGTCTTGAAACACTTTATTCTTGGCCTCTCTAAAGCTCCTCAATGATGAACCCTGAGAAAGACAGATTTTTTTATTTCAAACTAATACCCAAATATGTCACAATTATTTTTATGCTAAAATGTCAGTTTTCCACCACTTGTGTCCAAGCACACACAGAACACATATATGATCATTGTTACACATTTTCTCCAAATCTTGCAATGTTACATCTCCCTCCTCTTGCCACTGCCCATAGCAAAGGAGCACTTTTTGAAGGCCCAGAAAGAACAAAAGGAAACCCAAATTTAAGGTCAGTTCAGTCACTCTTCTCACCCTGTGAGCTCCAAGCAAACAGGCCAGGGATGACCCTACTCCAGGCCCCTGGTGAGGTGCAGAGTATATGCCAACAACTGGGAGGGCTGCTCTCAGCCACAAGGGACGGGGATTTCCCTTCAGCCATGGGCCTGAGATCTGACCCTACGCCATCATATAAGCCTAGAGTCCTACAAACTGCCTCACTCCCTTCCTTCTCCTGTTCTCCCTTACACAGCTCCAATCAGCAGCACTGACCACAGTGGCTGCTCCACTTAGGCAAGAGAGAAAGGGAGCCACAGGCCAGACAGGACCCCAGGGAACAGCCTCACGACAAGTGAGGAGATGCAAACACCACTGTGTCTCACTGTGACGATATGCTTCTGGTTGCTGGCTCAAGCCCCACGGGTCAGAGCTGAGGAGAGCCACTTCTCTCCAGTTCCAGGACCAGAGCTCAGCTTGCTACACTACACCTATCAGCCTAAGCAGAGGATACTAGCGCAGTTCTGCATTTACCAGAGTCTTCTTCAGACTGGGCAGAGGTCACCAGGGCAAACTTTGTGTGATAGCGTGCTTTCTGCTTCTCGTTGAGCATGTTCCACTGGGATCCAAGCAGTTCTTCGATCTCCTCACCTGAGGCATCTGGGTGCTCAGCCACCACCTGTGGACACAGGAGAAGGTACAGAAAGAAGTTTAAAGACACAAAACTCATTTGGGTTTTGTTTTGCACAAGATCAAATGCATGGCCTGCTAGAACTTAGTATATGGTATTTTTATTCCCACATCATGGAACTATGTCCCATAAAAGCTTCAAAGAAAAATAGCACTTAACTGATGCTGTGACTCACTGAAAACGCATCAATGAAACTACATTTATGCAAATACAGGAAATGATAAATTGTAAAAAGAGAAAAATACAGACTTTTCCAAAATCACTAAATCACTGTAAGACATTAAGTTTCTAGGCATCCTTGAAAACTTGATAGAACAAGTAGCATGGAAATGGCACCTGAGTGCAGAGGTGAAGTCTGGCTCAGTTTCCTCACTGGCCACAGCACTCAGTTTCCTCACTGGCCACAGCTCTGGGCGAGTGGTAAACGTATAACCAAGAAGCATCTGGGGCATGTCACAGCCCAGGCCAGCACACGAACCCACTCTAACAAAGCCAAGAGACAGGGCTTCCCTGACTCTCTAGCTACACTGAGACGGCCAGTTTAGTATGCACCCTGGGAGCATACTAAAAATGCAGATTCCCAGGCCCCATACCCACCCATCAACCTGCCTACCAGGAACCTGACTTTTCACAAAGTCTCCAGGTGATTCACAAACACACCAAACTCTGATAAGTGGGTTCTTGGTCTTGGCTGCACCTAATAATAACCTGCAAGTTTAAAACCATGGTATGCTAGTGCCCCTGGCATCTGTATTTTAAACCTTTCTCAAGGGTTATTAACATGTCCACAAGTGTGAAAGCCATAGGTACTGCAAGCAGGGCAGAGGGTCAACACATTAATGCCTGCGGCCAAATCTGACCCACCACCTGCTTCTATGCAGCCCATAAGCTAAGAATGATTTCTGTATTTTTAAATGTTTGAAAATAGCCAGAATATTTCATGACAGAAAATTACAGAAAATTCAAATACCCATGGCCATAAACAAGGTTTTATTGAATCTCAGCCCCACACATTTTTTTCCATACTGTCTTTGGCTGTCTTCCCACCACAACAACAGAGGGGAGTGGTTGAGAGAGAGCCCTCACTGCCTGCAAGGTCCTTGGGAAGTAGTTTGCCAACTGACAGCACTAGCCACCAGCAAACTCTGGAACCAGACCGGGTTCCCATGTTGACTCCTCCACTTGGTAGTTTTGTGAACTTGGGCAAATGAAGGTGTTGCCTCTACCCTGCTCTGTGAAATGGGGGCAATAACACTCCACTGGGCAGTGGGTGGTAAGAGTCAACAGGCTAATACTGGCTGTTACCATAACCACTTAGACCTGCCACTGTCCAGCCAACACAGGTAACCTATACCCCAAGCCCAAATCCCTCCTCACAACACAGTCACTACAAATGGCTTCATAGAGCCTCCGTGCCCCCCATCTGCCTAGAAGAGGCAAGTTATCATGCCCTGCCACACCCTGGGCTGGCACAAACACTACCACCCATGTCCATCTGCTGCCTCTCCAGACCTGCAGATGCCCACAACCTGATTGCCTGGGTCCTCCTGCCACACAAGATGCCTTCTACAGTTCAAGTCTGGCTCTGCCCTCTAGCACTCTACCCACATTCTCCTTGAGGGCCCAATCCCAGCCTGCTCGGTCTGGGCATTTCCAATACTGCACATGCCTGCTCCTGCCACTCCCCACCCAACCCAGCAGGACTCTGTCCTGCCTGCTGTTGCTGCGCCCTATTCCACGAGCTCACCCCTCCCAGGTCTTCAAGCACTGAGGCCTCAGATCTTCATCCAGCAAATGTTTCTGGGAAGGGCTTCAGATCTGCAGGGCACTGGCCTCTGATCTCCCCAAATATAGTGCATTTCTTTGTGGGCCTGCTGCCCTCCTTGGTCATCCACCTCTGCCCCTAGTACCCTGTCCCCCACCCCAAATCCAATGTCCCCAAACAAAATGAATCTTAACAGTATCCACAGCTGCTTCATCAAACTAGAGTTCCAAGTATCCCTTGAGGTCACCTTTCCTCTTGCATCTAAACTCCATGCTGGCCTGGTCCCATTCCTGAACATTCTTTATATGCCCACCACAACTTCTGATGGACATTTCAGCAACTAGTCTCCTGGCTCTCGATACTGTCCATCCACTTCCAAACACTCCCAACCCAAAAAGGCCTTCTCATGCATCCTGATGGATCACAGTTCTGTCACTTCCCACTCCTAGGGTAAGGCCCCAGCTGCTCAGTCGAGGCTGCTGAAGCCCCACGTAATCTGGCTTTGAGTCTCTCTCCACTTTCTTCTCATCCCTCACAGCTCCATGCTCACGCTATACTGTGGATGGTCTCCCACAGGCTGTGGTACTGACAGGCTCCACCTCCTAATGCCACCACAAGTTACATACTCTCCCTGAAATATTCTACCCATTCTTTTATGTTTCAGCTACAATGTCACTTTTCATTATTCATTCAGCAACTATCTATGGAATGCTCTGTGCTGGTGACAGGAAGTAAAACAGCAACAGCAGCCACGATCCCTACCCTGTGGGCCTTGCTGTCTAGAGGGGCCACCTGTTCGTTTTTCATCTCTCCTCATATTATGTGCTCCATGGGAACAGAGAAAGTGTCTTTGTCATCATCTTAGGTCCCAACCAAAAGCTGTGATTGCTCATCAAAATCTCCAAGCTCCACAACGAAGCAGTCTAGAATGATGACATGTGCCCACATACAGTCAGATTCAGTCCCCAATTCTCCTGCTTTCTGACTGCACCATCTCACTGTGAAAGAGAGTAACTTCACATCTTTGAGCTTAGCTTAGCCAGCTATAAAACAGGGATAGCTGATTTCTCCTTAAAAGGCCACTGTGAGTACTGGATACAGTTTTCCACAATAACACACTGGCAAGGTACCTGAAATGTGGTAAGCACTCAATAGTGGCCACTTCTTTATTAGTAGTAAGCTATTTCAAATATGCCAAAAACACTGTAGAAAACCAGACACCCACTTGTACTGGCAATTAGACTCTACCACTCCTCACAGATCACATTCCCCTCCCTCATCCCACTCACCCTCTCATACATCCTTTTAGACCTTCCTTTTGCTGTCAGACTCCAGAGAAGCAAGCTGCAGTATCCACTCTCTCAGATGGCCCTGCAATCCCTGACCCTGAGGCTCATGCCCCACTGCCGAAGTGCACTGGCAGGCACAACCATCCTTACAGCACATATATGCTGGTGTACGACTTCTAAGTCTAAGGCATAAAAGACATCTACCTTACCTTCCCTTGGATCACCTGCTCTGGGGGAAGCTAGCCCTGTGTAGTGAGGACATGCCAGCAGCACTGTGGAGAGGACCACATGGTGAGGAACTGAGGCCTCTTGCCAGCAACATAAAGTAAGAACCTCAGAAGCTGATCCTCTGACCCAGTCAAGCCTTCAGATGATGTGGCACCACCTGGTATCTTGGATGCAACCTATGAAAGACCCTGAGGCAGAACCACCCAGCTAAGCTGCTCCCAAATTCCTGGCCCACAGAAACTGGGCAATAATAAATGTTGGTTGTTTTTAAGCTACTAAATGTTGAGGTAATGTGTTATGCAACAATAGATAACTAAAACCAAGCCATATGCAAAGAACTGAGACATAAAGCATTGGTTCAATTCTAATGGATATGTAAAAATTGGGATCAGGAAAGGTGGAAAAGACTTTAAACATTGGAAATTCAAGAAAAGTCTGCGAATGAATATGCTCCTAGCACTGGGGTCTTCAGTAAATGTTTGTTGTGCTTTTTATCACAGTGGGGGACCTCACATACAAAATAAGGGCACTACACTGGACACTGCCCAGTTGTTCACTCTCCGTGTTCAGGTTCTCCAGCCCCTTGCCACGAAGAGGATGTCAATTCTTCCACAGACCATGTTTCCAACACGCTCATCTCTCCTCCCTACACTAGCCCTTTCAGGTGTGTTCCAGGAACATCATCAAATATACTCACGAGCTGCATGTCTAAGCTAAGCATGGTAGACAAAGACTGACAAGGAAAAACTTAACAAAGTGCTATACCCAGTCTGGCGTGGTGGCTCATGCCTGTAATCCCAGCACTTTGGGAGGTGGAGGTGAGAGGACCACCTGAGTCCAGGGGTTTGAGACCAGTCTGGGAAACTTGGTGAGACCTTGTCTCTACAATAAATCAAAAAATTAGCTGAGTGTGGTAGTGTGCACCTGTAGTCCCAGCTACTTGGAAGGCTGAGATTGGAAGATCGTCTGAACCCAGCAGGTCAAGGGTGCAGTAGCCATGAGAGCATGCCACTGCATTTCAGCCTGGACAACGGAGTAAGATGCGACTCAAAAAAAAAAAAAAAAAAAAAAAAGTGCTATATCCAACTGAAGAGCCTTTTCAAGAAGTACAGTATTTTTCTTACTGCCAAAAAGGAAGCTGGAGTCATTGACAATCACAGTCTTCCATTCAGGGTCTCTAGAAAATGAGGGTTCAGGAAACAGTAGGGAGGCTCTACCTGACTCTATCCCTCAAGGACTGCTACTGGTTAACTGATAAGCAAAAACCATCTTTGAGTGCACAACCGCTTCTAAAAAAGAAAAAGCAACCTAGAAAGACCCAAATTACTCTACAGGGTGGGATCAGAAAGAAGATTCCTTGACTTCAGTTTAGAACTACTCATTAAAGAACCAGCACAGACATAATGACAACAAAGTAACTAAAATATGTCAGGCATGGTGACTCACGCCTATAATTCCAGTACTCTAGGAGGCCAAGGCAGGAAGACTGCTTGAGTTCAGGAGTTCAAGACTTTTTCTTACTGCCAACAAAATAAGAGCACTAATTTTGGGCAACACAATGGGCAACACAGTGAGACCTCATCTCTACAAAAATAAATAATAAAAAAAAATTAGCTGGGCATGGTGATGCACACCTGGAGTCCCAGCTACTCAGGAGACTGAGGTGAGAAGATTGCTTAAGTCCAGAAAGACAAGGGTATGGTGAACCATGAGCATGCCACTGCACTCCAGCCTGGATGACAGAGTGAGACCCTGACTTAAATAAAACAAACAAAAAAACATAATTGAAACAGTTAAAAAAAAGAGTCCTGCTAGTCCTTTTCTTACAATACACAATCTCTCAAAGTCAACCAGCCCCTGGATCCAGCTAGAGGGAAGGGAGGTCCATGTGTGACCAGAGGTAGGTTAGAAACAAATACAGAACTCACTTTTATTTTATTTTATTTATTTGAGTTGGAGTCTCACTCTGTCGCCCAGGCTGGAGTGCAATGGCATGCTCACAGCCACCTCAGCCTTGACCCACTGGGCTCAGGTGATCCTTCTGCCTCAGTCTTCAAGTAGCTGGAATTACAGGCGTACAGCACCATGCCTGGCTAATTTTTTGATTTATTGTAGAGATGAGTTTTGCCAAGTTGTTCAGGCTGGTCTCAAACTCGTGGGCTCAGGCAATTCTCTCACCTTGGCCTCCCAAAATACTGGGATTAAGGGTGTGAGCCATCATGCCTGGCCTAGAACTCACTTTTAATTGTGTACGTTCAGTTTGCTTTTACTGTAGTTTTGTATAATACCCATCCAGACTTTTGTTTTTGGCACATTTCTTAGTGTTAGAAGGGGAATCTGAGATCAATCTGGGTACACAAAAGCAAATAGGGTGGTCAGTCTTCCTGGATAAGTTACTTAAATTCTCAAATACCTGCCTTTTTTCCCCCACAATTCCAAACAAGTAGAGAGATCACAGAGAAACAACCTAGGACTATGTCAGAGTGTGGCTGGTTGGGCAGTTCCCATTTAGCAGAGCCTTGCCCAGCTTCCAGGGGCTAACAGCATTCAGTACCTCACCAACTGTGCTAGGCCCTTGCGTCAAATGCTAGTGGTATCCATTCAGAGCTTGCCATCACAACCTCCTACAACATGCCAAATGCCAGTACACAGTTGCTGAGTGCTCTATTTTAAATGCAACCATGACCATGGCTCCTCTGCCAGGTGCTAACATCTGCTCCCTGGATAAACTTCTTGGCTTCTGGACAGAAGTATATACCTTCACAGCTACCCACTTACTCTTTTTAGATGATCGTAGATAGAAGGGTAAGTAAAACTAAATAGTGCATATGTTGCACTTTTAAAACTTTATACAAGTGATAGGATCAGCATATACTTCAGCAACTTGCTTTCTTCTTCAACATCCATTGAGTTCACATTAACTGCTGTGTAGTTATGCTGTAGGAACATATTGCAATCTGTCACTCATTTGATAACTTTTTGGTTTTAGACACTGTGGTGTCTCCTTGGGTGCAAGGGCAAAATTATTCTAAGAGTGATATTGTAAGAGAAAAAAAGCACATCTTTGATTTCACTGGATATTACCAAATTTCTCTCCAAAACAGGTGTAATAAATGATGCTCCACCAGCACTTATGAGTACCCAGGCTGTTACGAGCTCAGTGCCTGCTCACCTGATGACTGTGAAGCACCATCTCACGGGACTGACATGCAGCTCCCTCATGTCGCTGAGACCGAGCAGCAGCTCTCCAAGTACTCACTGGCTGTCCAAGCTCTTCTGTGAAATACCATTTCATGGCCTTCTGCTTCTTTTCCTTCAGAATTGTTTGGGCTTGTTCTTTCACTGTATCCATGGTGTCCTTGGTACATAGATTTTCATCTTAACATAGTTCCTTTATAGTCTGTGATCAGTTTGGCTTGTTTGAGAACTCCTTCCCTCTCCCAAGGAGGCTGAGTTTGTAAATCACTGGTGGTGCCAGCACCACACCCAGAGCAGACAACTGGCCTTTCCTGTCCATACACATACTCAAGAGTATGCTCTGGGCTCTGGTCAGAATGGTGTCACCACCCTGCATGTCCCTGGCTGTTTTTCATAACAGAACTTCCAGCTAGGCATGGTAACTCACACCTATAATTCCAGCACTTTGGGAGGCGGAGGTGAGAGGGTTACCTGAGTCCATGAGTTCGAGACCAGCCTGGGTAACTTGGCAAGACCTCATCTCTACAATAAATCAAGAGAAATTGGCTGGGCATGATGGGACATGCCTGTAGTTCCAGTTACTTGGAAGGCTAAGGCAGAAGGACTGCCTGAGCCCAGCAGGTTGAGGCTGCGGCAGTGGCCATGAGCGTGCCACTGCACTCCAGCCTGGATGACAGAGTGAGACTCAAGTCAACTCAAAAATAAAAATAAAAAAATAACAGAACTTCCTATCTGGTAGGGCAAGTCCTCAGGCCAAGCCTCTCTTCAAATATAGCTATGCTGGCATCCATTTATGAAGTTCAAAGAAATTCCTGTTGGGAATTGTATTAGAATTATACTGAATTTACAGATTATTTATATGGGGAACTGACAACCTCATAATACTTGAACCTTTCTATATATGATTATATTTCCATCTATTTAAGTCTACTAAAATAGTAGTTGTTTTTCTCCAGAGTTATATACACATTTCATAATATGTATTCCTCAGTACCTTATATTTTTGTTTCTATTATCAATGATGTCTTATTTACTTATTTATTTGAGTTGGGGTGTTGCCTAGACTGGAGTGCAGTGGCACAATCACAGCTCACTGCAGCCTCAACCTCCTGGGCTCAAGCAATCCTTCCACCTCAGCCTCTCAAATAGCTGGGATTATAGATGTGTGCCACCACACCCGGCCAGAAGTTCTGCTATTAAAATTTTATGATTTTTTTGTAGAGATGAGGTCTCACTATGTTGCAGGCTGGTCTTGAACTATTGGGCTCAAGCAATTCTTCCACTTAGGCCTCTTAAAGTGCTGGAATTACAGATGTGAGCCACTGCTCCTTGCATTAATAGTATCTTTTTTAATATTACATTTCCTCTTTGCTGCTGTGCTTGTATGTTAATTGTTATATCCACCAACCCTGGTGACCTCTTCATTAATTCTACAGATATTCTGTATATTCTCTAGAGTTTACTACATAGGCCTCTGCAAATAATGACCGCTTTATTTCTTCCTTTACAATCATGTCTTTTCATTTATCTTTCTTATCATATAGCATTGGCTAGTATTTTTAATACAACATTTAATACACGGTGAAAGAAGGCATCTTGTCTCATTCATGATTTTAAAGAGAATGCTTCTAAAGCTTCTAATATCCTTTTTTTTTTTTTTTGAGTCGGGATCTCATTCTGTCACCTAGACTGGAGTGCAGTAGCACAATCACAGCTCACCACAGCCTCAACCTCCTGGGCTCAGATGATCCTTCTGTCTCAGTCTCCTGAGTAGCTGAGACTACAGTCATACTCCACCATGCCCAGCTAGTCAATAAGTAATACCTTGATGAAAACTTTTGATAGATATTCTTCAACAAATTAAGGAAGTTCCCTTCACTCTTGGTTTATTTTTTATCAAAAACAATGAAACTTAATGCATGTGTCAAAATATCACACATACCTCATAAATATGGGGTGTTGGCTGGATTTTTTAAAAAGCAACAAATTTTATCACATGCCTTTTCTCCAGCTATCAAAGTCATCATTCAATCTGTTACACAGTGAATCACAATAATAGATTTTTCTAACATTAAGCCAGCCTTACATTCCTGAGAAAAGCCCTATGGGTTTCTCTTGAAAGAATTACTCAAAATGCCTTTCTCTAAAAGACTTTCCAGCTCCTTTGTAGGTACAAAAGAAAAATCACATCTCATGACTTTCTCAGAACACCCACAACCACCCGTTTACCCATCTCTGCCTGATTTCCTCAAGGCCCTATATGTGCTGTGATGTCTGCCACAAAACGGATGCTGGTTAAACATTCAAGGAAAATATTTAGAAAACAGACACTATTTCTTACTGGTACCTTTAATCACCACATGGACTTGGACTACTGAACAGAAAATTCCCAAAAAAGTAAAATTAAAATGAATGCTATTTTTAAAAGGCTTTTAAGCCCTAGACTACCACCCACTCACTTTAAGTAATAGTTAACATAACCAAAAGTGAAGCATCCAATCCCTACAATTCTTTACAATGGAATTGAGCATGTAGTATATATTAACAGATTGTGTGTGTATTTTATGAAAACATTTAAAAAACTGAAACACTTTAATTATAGTACTGTCCTTTTAAATATCATGGCATTAAATTTTCAACACACTAAGTGCCAGTGGATATAATAAGTTTTACAAATGACTGTTCCCCATACTAGAAGCTTCAGAACGGCCTGCTGGAGAAATTTCAAGGCCAAGCTTCCAGCAAAGGACAGTCTAATGAAATCTGCCTCCTACAGTCCCTGGTATCTTCTCATCCATATTGGGAGGAACACTTTGTAACTCAGAGTGCAAAGGCAACAATCTTTGCCCCAAGGATCAATATGGCTGTTCCCTAATAATACTTACTTATGAGATCAAAAATCTATGCAAAACACACTACAGACTGTTGATAATGCCAAGAACCATGCTTCTGCACCAGTTATTCCTCAAATTCAAAAAGTCCCCAGCATGAAACACAACTTAGAACCCATCAGAGTACTGACCTCATCCCTGTGCTTTTGACAGAAGACCAAAAACTGGGATGCTGCATCTCCCTTTCTGCTTCGTGGTGCGGAAGTTGCAGCCTTCTTCCTCCCAGGAGGAGATCCTACTCCTCTTCTGGGGTCAGCCTCTGCCATCTTTTGAGGAGTACTCTTCTCTGTGCCAGGATCACTCTCTTGGTTCTCAGTAGAGCTAAATAGTTTGGCTCTCCGCCTTCTCTTCGTAGGAATGCCCTCTTCTTTCATGAACTTTGGGTTTTCAGCAGCTTCTTCACTGAATCCTGAGGACTCTGCTATTTCTCCTGAAGACTCCACAGCAATGCCAGCCTCTTTGGCTACGCGAGGGTTGAGATGTAGCTGGTCCCCCACGTAGACAAAGGTGAACTTGGCTTTCCGCTCCTCCACTGACATGCTTGCAGCTTCTTCTGCTTGAACAATGCCCATTTCCCACTGAGCCCTTAATTTCCCTGAAATAGGTTTCAACAGCTGGAAAAAAAAGACATTATGTAAGTTTCATTACACAAACATAAAAGTTAACTTACTAAATTTCAGATAAGGTTAAAGCAGAATTCAGCCCAACATAATAACTTTGTTTCTTAAAACCAGAAATCAATTCCAATCACATAACTAGTGTAATATATATAAAAAATTAAAATTATAAAACAAATTATCTCTAGGAGTCATCAAATGAAAAAGAAAAATAAAGTGTCTCTAAAGAAACTTGTCATATTTTATAAACATGGTATTCCTGGCCAAAAGTAAACAATGATAGACAAAAACGCTATTACAATATTTCAAGCAACTATAAGTTTGAACCAAGATAAATAATAAGTTAAAGAATAAAAATGACAATTTTGGTCTACAAGAATACTGAAGGATCATCTATCACCTTAATTTTCTCAGCTTTCGTGGGTGCCTGCTTGGCACTTTCCTGGCATAATTTTTCAAACTGTCCTTCTCCTTCAAAAGCTACAAGGCTCTTCTCAAATATCCAAGCTCTTTCTGGGGCATCACCAAAGAACTGTACGTGATACTGGCGTGCACTCTTTTTCTGACCTAGTTTTTAAAATAAAATGTTAGAACATGAAAGTTAGAATTTAGGATGAAATTAGGCAAATCTATTGCTACTTTGCAGTTGTTCTCCTTGGTGTTGTTTGAGCCTGTTAACCTCAAAATAAATCCTACCCTTCTTATCCCTACCACACTGCATACTACAGAGAAAAACTTATTGACAAGAAACTCAGGTAAGGTTTAAAATTGACTGGGAAAGAAAGCTGACTTAATGCACTCCTTTATCTCCTCCCTCTTAAGATCCTCTTAAAAAGATACCGAACAGGTAAGACAAGAGAGGACATCAGTAAAAAGGACACTTCAACAGAGAGGTGTGAGAATATGGCAGTGAAGAGAGCAGTAGACTGATATCAGATGGCCTAGGTTCAAATCCCAGTCCCGCTACCTACCAGCTGACCAAGCACTTACTCACAGTGCTTAAAATAACACCAATGAGTCGGGCTCGGTGGCTCAGCCAGTAATCCCACACTTTGGGAGGCTGAGGTGAGTGGATTGCATGAGCCTGTGGGTTCGAGACCCACCTGGGCAACTTGGCGAGACCTCATCTCTACAATAAATTTTTAAAAATTAGCTGGGTGTGGTAGTGCGCACCTGTAGTTCCAGCTACTTGGAAGGCTGAGGCGGAAGGATCGCCGGAGCCCAGCAGGTCAAGGCTACAGTGGCCGGGAGCAGCCACTGCACTCCAGTCTGGGTGACAGAGTGAGATTCCAACTCAAAAAAATAACACCAACGGCCTCCAAGAGCAGCTGAGACCACACAGTAACCCCTCAGATGCTCACTGCTGTTACTCTTAACTAAGAGGGAGAAACCACATTCCATAATGCATCCAGAGGCAACCTGGATGAGGAAAGAGAGAGCTGTAACCAAAACCCAAGAGGAGGTGCTAGATTCCACAGAAACAGAATGAGAAGTTGAATACAGGTAAGCCAGTTGAAAGGTCAGATCTCTGTGCCAAAGTGAGAGGAGGAAAGGGGGATATGTGGGGGGGGCGGGGATCATCAGTCCCTGTTCCCTCAAGCAGAACACTGACCACAGGAAATCAAAGGAAACTTCCTAGAGCACCCCTCAGGTTTTCAATGGAAAAACTTCCTCACTGAGGCTTTTGGAGATTCCCCAACTAAGTGACCCAGTGGTCAGTCAGAATGAAGATGGCTAGGTAATCAAGCCTCCTCTCATATGCCAGAAGGCAGCTCTGAGTGCTGTGCTCTTAAACAAAGGAATTCTCAGATGCACGGAAGCCTCCTGCATGAATGAATCCAAAACACCCAAAAATGAACAGCCTCTGCAGTGCCACAGATAAAATGCAAGGAAGAGAAGACAACAAGCAAAGACAAACCCCAGTGTGCTCTGAAAAGAGAACACAGAAAAAGAAAGATCTATTAGAAATTTTAAAATACAATTATGAAAATAAAATTCAACAAGAAAGATTGAATAAGAAATCTCCCAGAAAGAAGAAAAAGATTAGAATTTTAAAAAGCTACCTCATAAGAAATCTATAGGATCAATCCAGGAGGTTTGATACCCAAATAACAGGTCTTCTAGAGAGAGGAACAGGAGAAGCTCAAAGAATTATCCCGAAAACAAGTGTAGAATTAAAATACCCCTAACCGGGCATGGTAGTTCACACCTGTAATCCCAGCACTTTGGGAGGCAGAGACGAGAGGACTATATCTGAGACAGTGGGTGTGAGAACAGCCTGGGCAACATGGCAAGACCTACAATAAATCAAAAAATTAGCTGGGCGTAGTGGTGCGCGCCTGTTGTTCCAGCTACTTGGAAGGCTGAGATGGAAGGCTCGCCTGAGCCCAGCAGGTGGAGGCTACAGTGGCCGTTAGTGCACCACTGCACTTCAGCCTGGGTGACAGAGTGAGACTCCGACTTTCAAAAAAACAAACAAACAAACAAACAAACAAACAAAAAACACCCCTAAATGCCCCCACCCAAAAGCAGGATACACCTTGGTGAAATTCAAGCTGCTGGAGGGAAGAGGAAAGGACAGTATCCAAGTTAATGGAACAAGAACAGAAAGGCAAGATACATCAAAAATGGCCAAAAGCTCTGAATGCTAGAAGAAAATGGAGTAATATCTTCAAAATTCTGAGAGGAATTATTCTTAACATAAAATTCTATACTGAAGCCAACAATCAAATGTGAGGATAGAAAAGTAGTATCCTCTGAACTGCAAGGACTCAAATTTGACGCCCATACACACTTTTCTTAGGATGCCAAAAATATACTCCAGCAAAAAAAGGAAAATTAACCAAGAAAGAACACATAGAACTATAGCTAACAATGCAAGTACTTCAGAAAAGCATCTTAAAGAAACTCTAGGTTGGCATGGTAGCTCACACCTGTAATCCCAGCACTTTGGGAGGCTAACATGGGAAGACTGCTTGAGCCCAGGAGTTTGAGATCAGCCTCAGCAATACAGCAAGATCCCGTCTCTATAAACAGTTTTTTAAAAAACTTAGCCAGGTGTAGTAGTGCACACCTGTAGTTCCAGTTACTCAGAAGGCTGAGGTGGAAGGATCACCTGAGTCCAGGAAGTTGAGGCTGCGGTGAGCCATGATTGTGCCACTGCATTCCAGCTCGATTCAAAAAAAAAAAAAAATTCTAAGCTTACTGCAATGTAAAAAAAAGGTTAAGAGTGCCCAAATCCAAATAGAAGCAGGAAAAAGGAAGATGCTAAGAGAGAGCTCCAGGGGAAGCAAAGAAGAGAAGAAAAATAACCTATTCTAAACAAAAATAAAATCTTGGTAGCAGGAAAGAGGGTTAAAAGATGAGTTCCAGGGAGCAGAAAAGGAAGATGGGACCCAAACACCTTTTCTTTTTTTTTTTTTTTAGGAGAAAAAATAGCTACATAAATAGGAGAAATTATATAATAAGGAGGAGTTTGAAGGACAGGAAGAAAATAATTAAGGCTGTATGAACAGCATAGCATAATGATTTTAGAAGAAACGCAGTAATTAACTCCAGAAAAAATAAAAAGTCAAACAAAAAAGAAAATGCAACATAGAACACAACTTAGAGCTGGGTTCAGTGGCTCAGCCTGTAATCTCGCGCATTTGGGAGGCTGAGGTGAGTGGATTGCCTGAGCCCACGGGTTCGAGAACCGCCTGGGCAGCAAGACCTCATCTCTACAATAAATCAAAAAATCAGCCGGGCGTGGTAGTGCATGCCTATAATTCTGGCTACTCGGAAGGCTGAGGCGGAAGGATTGCCAGAGCCCAGCAGGTCGAGGCTGCAGTGGCCGGGAGTGGCCACTGCACTCCAGTCTGGGCGACAGAGTGAGACTCCAACTCAAAAAAAAAAAGAACACAACTTAGTTTTTCACGAATGATATTTACATAAGTCAGAATTCTGTAAACAGTTATTTTTTATTTAATAAAAATGGTAGCTTAATTACATGGAGTGAATGTAGGGAAAGAAATAGAAAATCATTCAAGAGCTCAATCTTCACTTTGTGTGACAGAAAATGTCTACATGATAAATTAAAATATAGTAGTTAAATGTAGAAGTCAGGTGTGGTGACTTATCCCTATAAACCCAGCACTTAGGGAGGCTGACGCGAGAGGATCACTTGAGCCCAGGAGTTTAAGATCAGTCTAGGAAACATAGTGAAATCTTGGCTGTATTTAAAAAAAGGCCGAACATGGTGGCTCAAGCATGTAATCCCAGCACTCTGGGAGGCAAAGGCAAGAGGACTGTCTAAACTCAAGGGTTCAAGACCAGCCTGAGCAACTCTACAATAAACCAAAAAATAAGCCGGGCATGGTAGCGCGTGCCTGTGGCTACTTAGAAGGCTGAGTTGGAAGGATCACCTGAGTCCAGCAAGTTGAGCCTGTGGTGGCTGTGAGCATGCCACTGCACTCCAGGTTGCGCAACAACTGGGTGAGACTCCAACTCAAAAAAAAAAAAAAGTAGAAGAAAATGTTCAAAGAGTTAAAAATAATTACCTCTGGGGAGGAGAGAGGAAGGCAGGGAATGATTTTTCACTATGAACCTTTCAGCACAATTTAATTTGCTTATAAGTTTTCAAACTTCTTGAAATTACCTAAGATTCAAGGATATGTCAAGGAATTTGTGACTTCTTCCATTACCTTAATACTTTGAAAGAACTCTTGTTAATGAAAACAAATATAGATACATGGCATGGCATTTTTATAATAAAATCTGTACATATACATATCTGTACATATAATAAAATCTGTACATAATAAAATTACAGTACATATAATGAAATAATATAAACTTAAATCATGTTTTTATAAATAATGACACAGAAAGATGTTCCTTACATGTCAGGTAGAAAAAAAAACAAAAGAGAATACTATAGTCTGATCCCAAGTTTGTAAAATAAATGAATGCAACATTCATTACATAAAGTTCTTTCCTATTCAGAAAGTTGATAACATAATTCAATTTTCTCCTATTTATGGGTGCCTTTCATCCACATGAACTGTATTTTGGTCCAAGTTGAGAAGTGACTATCTCTTTATTTTATTTTAGCACATAATTACCCAATTGTCCAGCACTATTTGTTAGTAAGCCTTCCTTCCTGTGCCAGTTACTGATGTTCATTAATAACAGTCTGTATAAAAATGCTTGTCATTTACTCCCGCACCTACATACCTTTCTAAGAGAACCTGACCTTCACCAACAGTCCTGGTGACTAATTCTGTACTATGTTCCTTTCCTCTCCCATCACAGCCTATTAGACTACAAGTGGCCCCTGACCCTCTGGGCTGGACTAAGCCAGTCTCTCTCCAGATACTGGGAAGACTGTTAGGTTGACAACAGTCGTTCATGCAGGTGCAAAATGATCTCCACCAGAAGCTGAAGCTCTGAGGAGGAAAAGAAGCCATAAAGATGCAGGCAAGGCCAGGAGTCTATAGAAGCAAGAATGGAGCACTGGAGCAAAGTCATAGAGACACAAGACCACAGAGCTCCATGGGAAACAGACAAGCATTACTATGCCTGACATT